AAAAAAATAGAAGATAGATTTAGAAAATGGAAATAATATTTTGGAAATTCATTGTAAGTTATCTATTGTTTTTAGTGTGTAGTAACATTAATCATAGCAAATAAATGAAAATATATCTTTGAATAGTCCTATGGTAATGAGAGAGTAAATAAAAAGGAAGGATAACTGATTTTGTGCATTTAGGCAAATTAGTCTAACCCTTACTATTTTTAGATAATGCAAGGAAGTGCACAGTAAGCTCATTGACAACATTCATGATAACTGCAATCCTTTTTATGATCAGTATAAGATTTATAAGTGACTTAAATGACACAAATGTTTTAGGAATCACTGTCTAGTTAGGAGGGTATGTCAGGGCATCAACAATAGTGGGAAACATGGGATAATTTGCATAACGGGCGAAGCCCGTTATGCTTAAATTATCCCATGTTTCCCACTATTGTTGATGTCCCTGACATACCCTCCTAACTAGACAGTGATTCTTTATATTTCCATTTCATTGTGAAATAAAATTGTAGATTTAGACTTTAAAAATGTAGATAAATAGATTTAACGAGGCCCAATCTAGTTGGATATTACGAAAACGGAATGATAAAAAAATTTTAATTCTTGGAAAAATATTTGTATGTTTTATGCTCAGAAAAATTAGAATGAAATTGTGTTACCTTGCCTTTATTGTAGTGAAATGGGGGCACTTTCAAGATATGGACCATTTTTCGTGTTTTTATACACAATTACATACTAAAACTCCTCAATAAACAAAGGGATTGACAAATTAAAAAAAAATAAATGATGAAATGTTTTTATTTTTACATATATCATGCAATTCACATCCCTCTTTTAAAAAATGAAAAGAAAATCGGCGGTATCCTCTATTGCAGTGAAAAGGGGGCATATCAAAACACAAAAATAGGGCTTATTTTATCCAACTATAGCTAGTATTTTATTAGTTGCAATAGGTCAGCTTTACATAACATCAACAAACGATTGTAATACTGTATAAGTTTCTAAAAATTAAATCATTCTTACATTATGGCATAATTTTCTCTTTATGCTCAATAAAAATGGTGAGTATAATCACTTCAATGTTCGAGGAGAAAGACTAAAATCGTTTACTTTTGGTTGCAGTTGGATTTTTTTACTAACTCGCTAATTGAAATAAAACAAGATAAAATTAATGAATTGAGGTATCAAGAAATTGATACCTCAAAATAAATTATCTTTCAAAGTTGTTATTAATTTGAAAGTAATGAATGAGCCAGCTTTCAACAAGCAGTCTATAGAGCAAGAGCAAGATCCGCGAAATATTTTAGCGCAATTTGACGTCATTTTAATTGTGACGTTATTGTATTCAATTGTGACGGCAGTCCAGGGTACTGTGAAATGCGTTAAAACGTATGCGCAGATCAACTAGATCGGGCCTCGTTAAATCACATAATGACTTCCATGCCAATTTCAATAGTCCTCGCCAACCGACGTCAAACACAAAGGCAGCCACACGAGATTTACATGCATATTTGGCCTCTATAGCGTCAGACACAGAGACAGAAGCCCGTTATGCTTAAATTATCCCATGTTTCCCACTATTGTTGATGTCCCTGACATACCCTCCTAACTAGACAGTGATTCTTTATATTTCCATTTCATTGTGAAATAAAATTGTAGATTTAGACTTTAAAAATGTAGATAAATAGATTTAAATCACATAATGACTTCCATGCCAATTTCAATAGTCCTCGCCAACCGACGTGAAACACAAAGGCAGCCGCACGAGATTTACATGCATATTTGGCCTCTTTAGCATCAGACACAGAGACAGATGCGCACGAGAATTGCATGCGTATTAGGCCTCCTTAGCTCCTGACCTATCGACCTGCCTAATTTACATTCCTGCAGAATTATCAAGAAATAAACTACCCCTAACTTTCAAAGAGTTATCACAGAGAAAAAAATTAGAAATGGAAATATAACTTAATAACTCGTCACTAAACATTGTAGGTGATTTACAAAATGTGTTGCATCACTAATATTTATAGCTCGATGATACGATCACATGTTGACACCTGTAGAGATTTTCAGATCTTTTGCATGGAAACAAATATCGTACTTCTCTCTGAACTCTCATCTTTTTTCAAGGACACAAAATTGGGAAAAAAAAGTTTCAAAATTAGGAAAATATGTCTGATTTTTGGATTGGGAATGGGTCTGGTAAACGGACCCAACAATAAGCCAGGAAAACCCCTGAATTCTTCCAAATTCTTACCTCAATTGCAAAAAGGGAAGATTTCAAAAAATTCCTTTCTTCTCTATCAAGTACTCTCATAGTTGACATATGAGCGAAGCATATTGGACCGAATTATCTTTGAAACCAAAATGGCAGTATAAATAAGCGAAATGTTCTATGATTACAACATCAGGGTTAGGAGGACTATTAACAATAATTATGAGGAATGTTTGGTTGTGGAAACAGCGAAAGAATATATAGGAACATACGGTTAGTAGTATTTTGAGATCACATTTTAAAAACATGGAGAAATAAATCGAGAACGGAGCGCACTTTTTTGTGAGCAATAAATATACAGTTTTTTCAATGGGTGGCTCTGTAGCTCTCCAGATCAATAAATTTTTTTCCGAGAGCTACAGATCTGCAGCTACAGTCATGAGTGAATAAATGGTTTCAACCACATTGTATATCATTAAGAAAATTCACAAAGATATTTGTTTTTAATTCTCGCATTTACCTCTCACTCTACAAAATAGCATGTAGGAAAGAAATGTTTCTACGTTAATGAAATAAAGTACGATGGCTTATTTACCTGTACTTGGCATTTACATTGCACATTTCCACAAGAGAGAGATGTAAGAAATAAAATAATAGCCCCCCCCCCTTCCCGATTTGATTTTTAGAAAGAAAAAAATTATTTACCAGAAAGACAACTTAATTATATAATAATGTCAATTCAGACACAAAATTTATTTTTTTTAATCAACAAGTTCTGCTTGGGCCGAGATGTTTTTTATATGGGCCGACGTGTCAATAATTTTGGGCTGATCTGTCAGGGCCGAGGTGTCAACCATCATGGGCCGAGGTGTCGTTGGGCCGAGATGTCTGTTCTACCGTTGGGGATGTATCCCCGAGTAGGTATCAAATCCGTGTTGGAACTATCTACCTGTTCGCATGAGTCCGTTCGCCATAATTCTTGTTCGTCCTGTGTCCTGTTCGCCATATATATCCCAATCGCCCAATTATAAATATTTTTTGTCAACATTATTGTTGTTGGATTTTAAGTCATTTCTTTTCTTTTTAAATTTTTTAAAAATATGTTTTGTGGTGTGACCGTTGGGGCGAGTGCAGTTGTATCAAAATCACACTTGGAACATTGGTCAGCCACTTCAAACAAATCGCACGAGACATCTTGACTAGCTGTGACGTCACACAACGTCACGGAGATCGTAGGAGCTTACGGAGAAAGCCGAGCATCTGGTTGAAACTATAGACCTAGTGCAATTTTTGATGAAAGTTATTGTAGAGTATTTTTTTTTTTTTTTTTTTAAGATATCTACAAACCAAAAACCTTTTAGGTTTTATTTTATTTATTTACATTATTGCATGGAATCCTGGTAGCAAAGGAATTTGGAGAAGGTTTCACACAAAAATTTGCTTGACATATGGTCGAGGGTCCTATAGTCGTGTGTGCCCAGTAGTCGTGCATCATTTTGTTTGTTGTCAGAAGTGGGTCGTGTGCAAGATATTATGTCATAAAAGACCAATTTTCAAAGATTAGAGAAGGAAGTGCCTACACTAATATGTTTTACAGTACATGTATGACGTTTGGACTAGTGCAGTTGTCTAGTGCAGTTGTATCTTCTAAAATACACCTGAAATGTTGATACGCCACTTCAAAAGTTAAGTTGCACGAGACATCTAGACTGTGACATCACACGAGAGCTCGTCAGGGTGTTTACGGAAACAGCCGAGCATCTAGTTGGAACTATAGACCTAATGCAATTTTTGTCGAAAGACATTGCGGAGAGAACATCGTAGTGGTCAATTGCACAAAAGTGACAACTTAAGCCAACTTCGATGCAAAGAATTTTTTTTTGTGCAAGAGTTCTAGAGTTGGGATAGGTGAAAGATGAAATAAATGAAATGAGCAATAATTTGTTAAATTTAAGCATGGAAAATTTTGAACGTTGACAGTCTATACTGTCGTGATCCTGTATTCCTGACTAAATACACAAATTAAAGCACAAATGAAGCTTTTATTTACAGTTAACAATGAAAAGGGAAGTAAAAAAAAGCCTGATTAAGTTACCAGATACTGAAGAAAAACAAAGGGAGAGAATACTAAAAGAAACAAGATATGTTTGTGAAACAGTGATGCCCCCTTACTGCTTATGGCAAAGACTTAAGTATTTCAAATGCACACAAACTCCAAGGTCAAGGCCAGTAAGGTCAAAATTGGAGGTTATCAAGAGGAAGTTCTTTGGATACACCTGTACTTACTTTTAAAAAGTTATGACCAAGGTTAAAGTGGGTCAAAAATATTTATACCGATTGAAAGGTCTCGCTACAATGAATACACATGTGAAGTAATATGAAAGCCTGAGCACAAACTGTATGGCCAAGGTTAAAATTTGGAATTTTTTTGTAAAAGAGGGTCAAAACTATATGGTCAAGAGCTCAGATTTGGTCATACCCAAAGAAAGGTCTTGTCACAAAAGAATAAACCTGTGAAATATGAAAAGCATAGCCCCACCCAGTGAAAAGTTATGGGCAAGCTAGGTTAAGGTTTTTCGCAGACAAACAGACAAACGGACAGTGCAAAAACTACATACCCCCTATTGATTACAGGGGCATAAAAAGAAAAGTGCATTAATTATTTGAAATTAACTGCTTTCTGTCATGCTCCTGACTACAAAAAGATGTTAAGATGCAGTATGGGGAGTTAGATAGGGAAGACTGATATTTTTAAAAGATTAAATTTATATTTTGTCAGGTACCATATGAAATTCTCAACAAAAAGTTTCGATCAGGTCAGAAGAACATTGACAGAGAAATATCTCATGTTCAACAAGCCAGCTCTGAGGTGGAACAATGTTTGCAAGACCAGAAATCACCATCGGTACAGCAGGTGTCAATGGCTTTGGACAGTATGGTGGAAAAGCTTTGCTTACTTAAACGAAAAGTATTTTATTTTCTCTCAAAAAGTATCTAGTAAGTTAATGTGATATATGATTTGTTAGAGAATTGATAAAAAATCTCATTAGCTCTACTAATCAGAGAAAAGAGCATACGCTATAGTCATCTATCTAGGGACTATGGGCCATTTGCCTTGGGTTCCATTGGGGACTATTGTGTAATGAATTTGAAGTGAATTTATGGGTGTCTAAGGGCTTTTAATTATCATTTCTAAAACAACCAATTTCAGGTTTTAAGGTCATCTGGATCACTCAGGTGACATATTGCTATCCGTTTTTGTCTGTCATTGTGCTTTAACATTGAAAGAGGCTGGGGGGTGGCAGCCATTTTCAGACTATTTCGATCTCCTTTAAAAGAAAAGCTCCATATAAAGATATACAAAAATGATCAAATTTTAAAACTAAAATGTATGAATTTTTTCTTTGCCAAATGATAGTTGACAGCTTAAGATACTGTATTTAAAAAGAATAAGTTAAATCTTGTGGTTAATTTGTGGTTATTTTGTTGACCCCCCAGCCTCCTTAAACATTTTCAGCTTCTTCTCTGAAACCATTGAACCAATTTCAACGATCTTTGGCATGTAGCATCTATTGGTAAAGGGAAACAAAAATATAAAATTCTTGGCCTCTGCCCCCCTGGGGCCTGAGGGGTGGGGCTAAAACCACCAAAATTGATCTTATTGTATTTGCCCCTAATAAGAGTTGCATCAAAACCATCATGAATGCAGCTTATCATTATACCCCCACTCCAAAGGAGAGGGGGGTATAGTGTTTTACCCTTGTGTGTCTGTCTGTCCGTCCGTAACAAATTTTCGTGGCAGTTTTCTCAGCAACTACTCATCGTAGATGCTTGAAAATTTAAGACAATCTTCTCTGAAGCATGCCATATGGTGGGATACATTTTTGCTTAAATCCGATGTCAGCTTCCTGTTTGTCTGTGTGTCTGTCCATTTCATACATAACAAATCTTCGTTGCAGTTTTCTCAGCAACTAATTATCGTAGATGCTTGAAATTTTAACACAATCTTCTCTGAGGCATGCCATATGGTGGGATACATTTTTGTTTAAATCCAATATCAACTTCCTGTTTGTCTGTGCATCTGTCCATTTCATACATAACAAATTTTGGTCGCAATTTTCTCAGCAACGTACTACTCATCGTAGATGCTTGAAATTTCAACACAGTCTTCTCTGAGGCATGCCATACATTGGGATACATTTTTGTTTAAATCCGATGTCAACTTCCTGTTTGTTTGTGCGTCTGTCCGGTTCATACATAAAAAATTTCATCACAGTTTTCTCAGCAACTACTCATCACAGATGCTCATCACAGATAACAGAATCTTCTTTGAGGCATGCCATATTGTGGGATACACTTTTGTTCAAATCCGATGTCAACTTCCAGTTTGTCTGTGTATCTGTCCGTTTCATACATAACAAATCTTCGTCGCAGTTTTCTCAATAGCTATTCATAGCAGATGCTTGAAATTTTATTAGGGCCCCGCAAGGATTTGCGGGTGCCCTATAGTAATCACTCTGTCTGTCCGTCTGTCTGTCATTCTTCCGTCCACAAATTTCCTGTTTTTTTCTAATAACTATTTTTATGGTTGCCCAATCAAGTTCAAATTTGATTTGGTAGTTCAGTACGTAGAAATACATATTTTGATGCTAAGTTTGGTTCTCTATGTCTTCTGGTTTGGAGCTGGATGGTGGGGTAGATTCCTTAACTCTGCATAAGAATGAATGGGCAAAGAGAGATAACTGCGGAGAATGTTAACATTGCATACTTGGAAGGCTGTGCAATATTTGTCCTTTGGGATTAATTAACCTTCCACTTGAAGAAATTCCTAAGAATTATCTTTTCACATTGAGATTAATTATGTACTGCCTCTGTCTGCAAATGAACTTTGTTTTGAAGTTAATTTTGAATGATGTGTAGTATTGTGTACATTCTCTGAATCTGAAATATGGATTTAAAATAATGTTCATACTTTATTTTGGTTAAAATACTTTACACGATGATTTATGATAATTTCATTGAATTATAAAATCAAGATATGTATTAAGATATCCTTTTTTACTATTACTATTTTATTTTTGTTTTTTTTAATTATTTTTTTTCTGCCTTAATGCTGTTAATTTTAACAGGCAATCAGATAATAACCCCATTCTGTCAGTGCTGAAAACAGTTCTTATTGTAAATTTAGAAGAAACCCGAACAATTAATCCCCTGGGATTAATAATCTTGCTTGCTGCAGAAAATTCGGAGGCTTATCCTTATCTGTCACATGAAGATTAATGAACATCTTTGTCTGCAACTGATGTTTGTTTTGAAGTTGAGGTCAACCCTGGGTGATATTTGCATTCACTGAAGGCTTGCATTTTATAAAACACATGCTTAAATATTTTTTTAAATAAACATTTAATGTATTTTTTTTTTTATAAGACATGAAGTTTTCCTGTTTTATGCAAATACAAGGTTACTATTTACAGGTTTTTGGAATTTAGGAATTATCTTGAAATTTAAAAAATACAGTTGTTACTTATAATCTTCATATCTTTTTTTTAAAAAATGTAATCAAGTAATACTCTCATTCAATGAGCTGCACCCTTATATTTTTACCCCTCAGCGGGGCCCTTGCTGACTGGTCAGTTTTCTAGTTGCACTCTTTGTTTAGGCATGCCATATGGTGGGATTAATTTTGATATGAATCTGATGTCAACTTCATATTTTTCTGTGCATCTGCCTGTATTTGAACTTGTGTACAGTAACATGATAGTGCTTATTTACATCAAAGCGGGGGTATTACTAGTGAGCATTGGCTCACAGATTTCTTGTTCACAGTGTTCCGAATATCAGAAATCTAGGTGCATTTTTCGATTAAATCCTATCTTTTGAATAGTAATGTAATGCGATATCAAGGACATGCTTCTCTCAAATTCGCAAAATAGGACTCATAAGACATTTTCTTACAGATGGGGCATGTTAAACACTTGTCCACTCTCTGGTGACGTCATGATTGGACTATCAATGTGGTAATGTGCTCTTATTCAACATCAATAGCGCATTTATTAACAAATTGCAGAGAGTTCAGAACACAACTGCTAGACTGACATTACCAGGACAGGCAAGCGTGAACATATTCAGCCCATACTTGTTGAGCTACATTGGCTTCCTGTCAAATATAGAGTGCAATACAAACTATGTTTCTGTGTCTACAAAGCACTATATGGTTTAGCACAAACTTATCTATCAGAACTAGTTTGTGAATACAGACCCACCAGCCAAAGGCTCAAGTGAGCTTTTCTGAACAAAATTTGTCAGTTTTCTGTGATCATTGTTGGTGTTCGTAAACTTTTCACATTTTCCTTTTCTTCTCAAGAACCACTGAGCCAATTTCAACCAAACTTGCCACAAAGTATTCATGTACCTGCATCCAACTTTACCAGGCTCAAGGCATCAGACTCCTTATTTCCTTTTCTATTTCAGGGTTTGTATGACGCACATTGTCATATACTGGACATACTCGCCAAGTGGCCTGGGTCAACACTAGGGCTGGGCAAAAATATTGATATTTCGGTATATTGCAATACAGTGACAAAAAATGTCGTATTGCAATATGTTTTTAGGTCACCTGAGTAACTCAGGTGACCTATTGCTATCCGTTTTTGTCAGTCGTCGTGTGTTAACATTTGAACATTTTCAGCTTCTCTGAAACCATTGAACAAATTTAAACCAAATTTGGTATACAGCATCTATGGGTGAAGGGGAACAAAAATTGTGAATTTCATTGTCCCTGCCCCCCTGGGGTCTGAGGATACAACATTTTACTGTTTATATCTCTTGCAGTACATATATATTTCCTCAGAATGACAGAATTTATTCCCAATTTTAGATGTCATGCATTATTACAATTTGCAAGACAAACAATATAAGTCTCAACAGGGACCTCCTGTACCAGTAATATGTATTTTCTGAGAGAGAGAGAGAGAGAGAGAGAGAGAGAGATGCCCAACATTAGATGAAACTTACATGACTTACATGACAAATGTGCAATAAGATAATAATATTAATTACACAGAGAGAGAGATTCCCATATTCAGATGAAATATATGTTTTTATTTCCCATCCCTTCTGTTGAACTTCATTACTTGACATAACTGTGGACTGCAATGAATGAGAAATCATTGGTAGTGAACAATAATATTGTCTAAGAGTCCCTCTCTTTTTGTCTTTAAAAAGAATTATCTATATATACTGTATTTGGCCGAGTATAATACGCATTGATGTAAAATACGCACCCCCCTTTTTGAGTCTGAAACTGGGGAAAAAAACGCAGTTCGGATGTATTATACGCAACAGAAAAATTTACCAAGCGATGTTCTGAACTTTGAAAATCGCGGTAATTTGTTACGAAAATCGGCGCGAGGATTAAGTGTCAAAAAATTTACTGAACACAACTTTTTTAAAATACACACTTTATAACTTTCTCTTAATCCTGACATTCCATATCGCGGCAATCTGGAGAAAATTATTTACTCATTTATTTCAACAAAGTACAAGATAATGTTGCGTAAAAGTATTAACAGCATTTTTTTTAAGCATAGTTACGGTGATTTTGAAATTATGCATCGCCATATTCTTAGATGAAATCATTTTATTTCAACAAAGCATGAGATATTGTTGAAAGTTTTGACAGTTTTCATATTTAATTTTGTTTCTAGGTAATCATGCTGAAAATTATGTTCCAATACTTTCACAGAACACGATATTGAAACATCAAAGTATTTATTTAATTAAGAAGACTACGATTTTCCTCCTCTGAATCTTCGCGGATATCTTATTTACTAAAGAGCACAAATGAATGATAACACTGAAGTTTTAGCATAATTCATATTTCCTTTGTCAACTCTCAATCATTTAAACAAGAGGCCGATAAGTATAAGATAAGGTAAAATTACATTTAACAAGTGTTTAATTGTTTAATGTGTCGTAATCAACACATGCTCACACATACGAAAGGTCGTAAACCGACCCCCAATTTTTAACAAAGAAAATAATCAAAGCAATTAACATGACAGTAAATAATCAGTGCTCTAACTGTAAAAACTTTGCTTTGGAGTCGGTAGACAATTAATTGCCCGGAGGGGTGTTGATAGGTAATTATCATTTGACCAGCGCACGTGTGTCACAACATTGGCTTCTTTTCATTGGAATGTATGGACGGGTGTTTATGTTGCAGCAGATTTTCATTGAGTTATTTAAAACCTAAAATAAATTTTTACTTTTTTGCATTTCATTAAAAAACGACTTATTACTTTGTCTGGCAGATAAGGTGCATGTGCACTATCATTACGGAAGCACCTGGCATAGCCATGAGTGAACGTCTAAAAATAACATCGGTAATGGCGGCCTACTCGGAGACAATCAACATGCAGCTCAAATTACTTTTAACTTGCCTTTTTATGTTATTTTAGTATCAAAAGATTATGAAAGTGACATTTTTAACAAGCATACCTTCCAACAGTAACTTTCCGAAGTTTAAAATATGGCGATAAACAAAAGAAGTTGCATATGTCTCTAGGTAATACTACGGTATGTACGTATGATAGCCGTGTTTCACCTGAAAGAAAAACTTATCAAAATCCCATTGTGATGTAAAATACGCATCCCTTTCTCACAGAAATTTATTTTAGGAAAAAAGTGTGTATTTTATTCCCCCAAATACGGTACCTATCGAATTTTTCCTCTGATTAGCAATAGGAATTGACAAAGCTTTCTACTGCAGTGTTTGAAAGAAAAATCATAACATGATCAAAATTTAAACAATAAAATGTCAAAGTCTAGAAAAGTTATGTTTTAGTTATACATGAAAATGGCCAAGTCCAAAAAGTTACATTTTAGTTATACATGAAAATGGATAAGTCCAAAAAGTTACATTTTAGTTATGCATGAAAATGACGAAGTCCAAAAAAGTGACATTATAGCTGTACATGAAAATGGCCAAGTCCAAAAAGTTACATTTTAGTTATACATGAAAATGGATAAGTCCAAAAAAGTGACATTTTAGTTATACATGAAAATGGACAAGTCCAAAAAGTTACATTTTAGTTCTGCATGAAAATGACGAAGTCCAAAAAAGTTACATTTTAGTTATACATGAAAATGGCAAAGTCCAAGAAAGTTACATTTTAGTTATAACTTTTTTGTACCTCAGAATCTAGGTATAACTAAGTTATAACTTAGTTATAACTTTTTTTGGTATGGGTAAGTATAGTACTTAAAAAAAATTCTCAGATTTTTTATGCATACAAACCAAGGGATTTATTGAAAACTGTTTTAGAATAATTGTTTTGTGCTCTATTGTGTATCCTTCTTTGCTTTAGGCAGAAGAAAGCATAAATGAAGAACTTGATGCAGCAAAAGTGATAAAACGTCGAGTGGAGCACTTAAAGGAGGCAGAATGTCTACAGCCGCACACTCGGCCTCTTTGGCAAAAGAAAAGGCTAGATAGAATGCTGGTGGAATACTTTCTACGTTCTGGATACTATAACACAGCTATCATGTTGGCACAGCATTCTGACATCCAGGTATATTTATATACATGTATATACATAAAGTATAATGTTGTTCTGATGTCACACCATATTTCGGCTAACCTGAACCAAAGGCTCAAGAAAGCTATTCTGATTAAGATTTTTCTGTTTTCTATGGTTGCCAATGTAGTAAATTTTTATACACGCGTCTTAAGATGAGATGCATTATGGTATTTCTATGTAGCTTGTAACCTGAGCTTTCATTGGTTACAAAGTCGGGTGTAAGTTTCTGTGCACCTGACTTGAGCCGGGGCCCGAGGGTAAATAACGTATGTCACAATACATAGTTATGTTCCCCAAACGAAGTTTGGAAACATATTGTTTTTAGCTCACCTGAGCTGAAGGCTCAAGTGAGCTTTTCTGATCAAAATTTGTCCGTCGTTGTCGTCGGCGTAAACTTTTCACATTTTCATCTTCTTCTCAAGAACCCCTGGGCCAATTTCAACCAAACTTGCCACAAAGTATCCTTAGGTAAAGGGGATTCAAGTTTTTTTCAAATGAAGGGCCAAGCCCTTTTCCAAGGGGAGATAATTATGAATTAGTGAAAAATTAATGGCATTTTTCAAAAATCTTCTTCTAAAGAACCACTGTGCCAGGAAAGATGAAACTCATGTGGAATTATCCTCAGGTAGTGTACATTCAAGTTTGTTCAAATCATGACACCCGGGGGTAGGGTGGGGCCACAATGGCTGATCAAAGTTTTACATAGGAGTATATAGGGAAAATCTTTAAAAATCTTCTTCTCAGGAACCACTGGGCTAGGAAAGATGAAACTCATGTGGAATCATCCTCAGGTAGTGTACATTCAAGTTTGTTCAAATCATGACCCCAGGGGGTAGGGTGGGGCCACAATGGCCGATCAAAGTTTTACATAGGAGTATATAGGGAAAATCTTTAAAAATCTTCTTCTCAAGAACCACTGGGCCAGGAAAGATGAAACTCATGTGGAATCATACTCAGATAGTGTACATTCAAGTTTGTTCAAATAATGACCCCTGGGTGTAGGGTGGGGCCAAAATGGCCGATCAAAGTTTTACATAGGAATATAGGAAAAATCTCATGAACCACTGGGCCAGGAAAGATGAAACTCATGTGAAATCATCCTCAGGTAGTGTAGATTCAAGTTTGTTCAAATCATGACCCCTGGGGATTGGGGCGGGGGGGGGGGGGGGGCAAAATGGCTGATCAAAGTTCTACCAGGACTAGATAGGGAAATCTTTTAAAATTGTCTTCTCAAGTATTTCAAAGCCATGATTAGTGATATTTATGTGGAATCATCCTCAGGTAGCGTAGATTCTAGTTTGGTCAAATCATAACCCCCAGGGATAGGGTGGGATCCAAGTTTTACATTAAAATATATATTAAAAAAATCTTCTCAAGAATAGCAAAGCCATTATTAGTAATACTAGTATTTATATAGAAGCATTTTCTGGTAGTGTAGAATTAAATTTGTTCAAATCATAACCACCAAGGGTAGGGTGGGGCCACAATGGTGGATCAAAGTTTTACACAGAAAAATAAAGGAAAAAATCCCAAGAACAGAAATGCTATGTTTAGTCATATTGACATTTAAAGACCCATTTTTATGGCGTCGGGCTTGCCCGATCGTCATCTAGCGATCAGTCAGGTTTACGCGACCGCACGTGTCAGTGGATGCATCCGCAATAGAAAATATCAACAGCTGTAAACCAATTTCTTTTAAAACGTTCACAATGAATAATAGCTTGAATATAAAATTAAATCAATTGTATCTTCAATTAATACTACTTCAAAACAACGATATTATGTTTAATTTTTACGCAAGAAAAACGTTATGGTTGTTGCGGATGAATTTCTACTGAGAGGGTGCGTCGAATGACATGAATCACATTTTGGGACCGATTACTGTAATACAAACAATCTTATATACGGTAAAATAATTACAAAATAAACACGAATACAACAAGACTATAAAGATTGAATTTCTTAATCTTAGCCTTACTTTTACGATCTTCAATCCAATTTTAGCCGAACAACCTATGATATTGACCAGTAATGCCAGTATTACTGTATTTATCCATTTCCTCCATTTGTTTACCACGCCCTTATCATAAGTCGATCGTACTTGTAACATTAGAGTCATGGTTGTAGTTAAGATGCAATCACTATACAACAGAACAACACTCTGACAATGGCAATTAATTAAAATAATTTACGAAACCCTTCATATGTCTTCGATTGACTGAAAAGAAATTAGATTGATATAGACATGATAGAGGATGGACATTACTGACGATGTCTGGTCAATTCGAACCCTGACTCGTTCGGACCAGGACACAAGGCTATCAGGCCCTATACTGTATTTGTGTTAAGACTATTTTTTTTAATTTTATTATTATGTTACCGGAGTCACTCACTTGACCTATTTGCAGATCTTTTGAAATTGTTTTTCTTGATCGACGCCATTGAAGCCTTTCAGGCTTTTGATTTTTACCGTACGGTTACCTGAGGAGAGGGAGTGGTCAAAGTAACAGTGGTGTTATTTACCTGGAGACCCCCAATACCCAAGATGTCAAAAATCTGTGTATACATACGTAGCATTACACAGGAAGTCTGTGTTTGGTAATCAGGGTCAACATTACGTGTTTTGTGTCTGGTTTTGAGTGAAACTATGTAAAATAATTATTTTAATATGGAATTTATTTGTAAACTAAACGCATTCATCGTAATCATGGTAATGTTTTGAAGGAAAAAAAATAATAAGATACATGTATATCGTTTTAGAAAATGTTTTCCTTACATAAAAGAAAAATTCTCGAGTAAAAACTACAAATCAGTGATATTTATCTTTTTTAATCTTCAATAAAAGAAATCACTTGATTAAAAAGTCTGACTATTGAAATAGAAAATTATTGATCCACCTATTCGTCGTACATGTGAACATGCATTTACCGTGATCGGAATGTCTTTTTTTCTTATGACCAACAATGTTGTCCAAAATATTCCATATTTTTGATTCTTCGTGTGTTAACAAAATGTTATTGTAAGAAAGATTTCTTTTCAGAATCGATCACTATTAATTATCTTCACATTTTCATTACGTATATATACAGACGCTAGAGGAAATTCGAGCATTAATTATGATATCAAATTCCTGTACAACATCGTGCGGATTGTAGCCATAGTACAAAATGAAACATCTTTTAAAAACTATGCTATGCCGTTTATTAGTGCTGAATATTTTTCTTATATTTACATCCACTGAATATTTTCTCCTTTATTTTTTAAGAAAACCCATTGCGTTAATCACTGCATGAACTACATTAGGCATGTCGCCTGTACAGATTTCTTGATCAGTGGCTGTTCCATCAATGAAACGTTTAAAGACGTTCCCATCATTAATACAATAATCAATCTTTTTAATTCTACTTTAAATGATTAATTAAACAGATATAAATATAAACAATAAAATGTCTTTCTTTGTTTGTTATTACTGGAATTAACGGAAGCAGCTATTGCAGAAAAAATTTAAATAACCCGCCTACGCGTATTTTTTCTGCAACAGCTGCTTCCGTTAATTCCAGTAATAACAAACAAAGAAAGCATTTTATTGTTTAAATATCCCACTTCTTAAAAAATGATTTAATTCGTCGGACTTCTAATTACGACAAATAGAGCCGGTTTCTGTGGACGCGGTCTTTTTTCTACAGATAAACATGGATGATATATAACACTTACAAGTAACAAACAGCAGTGAAGATAGAAAAGAAATATTTTATTATGTCAATGGTTTAATAATCTACTTTCAGTTATTTTTTGAAATAAAATTCAAACATATTGGAGTTTTCTAATCCACGTATATACTATGCGGGTACATGAAAGCGTTTGACGCGTGACCAGGTAATTGTTTTCAAAACATGAAAATTTAGATTATCAGGAGGCACAGGTAGCTGACCTGTCAATCAAATCAGAAGCTATTGTTTTTTTAATGATTGACAGGCGGTAAATTATTGATCTTGAATCAGGTAGATTTTGGGGGCGTTATCATAAAATTGGCTGTTCAAGCATCCTCATGTATTGAAGATTTAAATTTATTCAAATCATGGCCCTTTGGGGTAGGGAAGGAAACATGGGGAATCAAAGTCAAATTATTATGAAGTTATACAGTGAAACTTCTCCAAACCGGCCCCCCTGGAAACCGGTTCTCCCTGAACATCGGCCAAATTTAAAAGTCCCGGCAAAATTCTTAACATTTCTTTACACATAAACTCTCATAAAACTGGCCACCCCTGAAAACCGGACACCGGCCACTTTTCCAAGAACGAAAGCTAAGAAACATAGGAATTTTCCCCTCATCATACCGGCCACTTTATGATTGCAAGAAATTTAACTGTCATTGGCCAGAAGGGTAATAATGACCGGCGGGAGGTGTGAAAAATAACCTACCCACAAGTAGTAAAAGGTGTGAAAACTGAATATGGCCTCATAGGGTTTTCTATTGTTTAGCCGTCTTGAAGGGGTTAGTTATCGTGCCAGACTACGTAAATGGCCGGTCTAAGCTGTGTACATATGATCAACATCAATTAAACTTGAATTAATAAAATATCAAGCAACTAATAAATTTAAATCAGATAATGAATAAACAAATTATCGCACGCCATATTGGATCATCTTTTTAAATACACATAAGCGGCCTTAAAATTAAGCACTGTTAAATAATGCTGAGGGAAAAAAATTAAATAAAATGTTTACCAAAATATACACTTCATGATTAAAATAACAGAAGTTTTGTTCAGAGATTACTTTTAACTGAAGTACAAACTTTTTTTAATGACGTAAGCGATACACAGATACATATGCAGTATCAGTTTAAGGTAAAGTGTCTGGTTTATTTCTTCTCATATGGTTAATAAAGTAACTTTCAATGTTTTTTGTGTTCTTATTTTCTAATTTCTTCTTATAAAAATCGACATGCATGCCTATTATATCCTCACTAATAATATTTTTTTAAAACC